ATGAATAGCTGAGATGCTGCCATTTATACTGAAGATGCTTAAAAGTGAAAATAATCTTGTCTAGCGTGTTATTTTGCTTTTTATGAAAAAAAATATTGCAAAATGCAAAGCTTATGCCTTGGATTATGGGAACTCTTGCATATTGTTGTAGATACAGTCTATAGGCACATCACGAACAGGTAATATTGTTTTGAACTTACTAAAATACTGATGTCTTTAGTGACAATTTTTAGAGGAAAAAAGTATAGCAAAACGCTTTTCTTGGGCCTCAAGAACTACAAAGAATACAAAATGTCTAGGACTCTGCCAGAAATCAGTGCCTATGGTGATAAAATGCTCTGTTACTATCCGTGCTTTTGGAGTTTATTACTAGATGATTTAATTTTTTGAGGTGTAATGATGTGAAACATTTAAACAAATTTATGATACAATAACAATTGCTTTTAGAATTGGTTGCTCATATATTTAATTTCCTTTTTGTCCTTTGAGAATTTGATCAGATTAACTTTATGAACAAAAGTCAGCCATCAGGTTTGTGTGTGAATCTCCAGGGCTGTGTTTTTCTGTGACTATGAAGACAAAGAAATGATTCCTTCTCAGAAAGCATATTAATGTACAACAATTTCACAGCAGCTCTTTTAAAGGCCTTTTGAGATCTCACACTTACCTGGAACAGGGCAGTATTGGGCTCTGCCCTTTCCCTTCATCACTGATATTTTAATGTTAGTCACTGAATAAAACCCAGAAATAATCTGTTGAGCACAGCCCCCATCTCAGGCATTTTCTCTTGCACATGATTACACCTCTCCTGCGTGATTTACAATGACCCATGCTCCCTTCTGTAAAAAGGCCCAAGTTAATGGAAAGGTGAAAAATGTCTGTTTTCCATCCTATATTATAGCTGGTTAGTCACAAAACCTCTTACTAACGTCTTTAGAAAGTCTTCTAGGAAATGCTAAGCTCCAGCTATGCAAGTCTACAGGAAGAAAATCATGGCTCCCCACGGCTGAGTTTTTCACACAGAGGCCATGTGGATGGCTCGTGACTAGTACTCTCAAACGTGCCCTCATCTCCCCAAAGCAGGAGAGTGTCTGAAAGTTTTCCTCAATACAAAATAAAAAATGGTTGTTAACATAAACACAGCCATCTGGAAATGGAAATCAGAAAATAATACACAATTTACAAATTGATACAGAAATGTCCAACTTGGCTACATGGACTCTCTGCAATTCTCAGTCCCGTTTTCTTCCTCTCTACGTAGCATTTACATAACCTTCTTCCCTACAAGAGGAGCCAAATCTAAACCTATTTTGAACTCCTTGCTGTGAATCATTCTGTTAATTGGTCTGTAACATGAAAAGCAGAATGTTGCTGCTGAGAGCAACTGAAGGGTGAAATGAGACTGAGGAGCCTTCCAGGGCTACAAATAATTTCTTGGGAAGGAGATGAACCTGAAGATGCGTTGGCCCAAGAAAAAAACGTTGACCAATTATTCAGAGGTCAACAGCCTCATTTTTCAAACTCGCCACTGGTATTTCCAGAATTATTCTCTCTCTGCGTGCCTCCTCCCACCCAATTTTTGTTCCTTGCCAGAGAGGTTTCCCATGTCCACTAATCTGGGAGGACAGACTGTCCCTGCAGGGAGACATTTGTGAGCTCTTGAGTTCTGTAGGAGGGAAGCAAGGTCCCATTTGCCCTTTTATCCTTTGCACAAATCTGCTGAACTGATTAGGATACTAAAACCCTTTAGACCTGTGGGCAGTCCTCTGCATTAGACACAGCTTTAACAATACTGTTTTAAGCACCACTGTGCTGTGGCATTTTTTAACTAGCAAAATCATAATATTGATGACAGGTGAATAACGATAGGAGTGATAATTCAGCAGGTTACTCTCCTGGTTCTTGCTATTTTATAGTGACCATAAAAAGGGTTGTAGAAGTAATTGTTAGTCTTTTGGATTCTGGACTAATGCTTGACAATGCAGAAAGAAGGGCTAAAAATCCAATGCAGGTGAAATTCATTAGTTTACTTTTTTTAGTATTTAAAGTAATTTTACATATTTTGTGGAACAGATTCATTAATCTAAGTTCATGTGAGTATCAGCATTGAGAAGACGACTATTATACCAAAGTATAATGCATCATGATGGAGGGGAACTACCACTAAAATTATTTTCATAGTTCTCTGTATCTATCACGATTAGCCAAATTAAATGTCTATCACACGTTTAGAGGCAAACTCCATTTTTTTTAAAAAAATGGAACAATCCTGCAACTGGTAATACTTCTAAATCCTGAAACAACTTTTGAAATGCATCTATTTTATTGAAGACTTTTTTATTTAGCAGTCAAAATGACCATACTGTAAAATCCTCATTAAAGCTGATCAATCTTTTGTTTTGCCTGTTACTTATTCCATTTCTGCATCATTTCACATATAATACACATAATTGTAAAATGGGACTTGAAATACCTGGAGAAGCATTTTGGATTAACCCATGCTCTCCTGAAAAGAAGGTACTAGGTACAATTAAATTGACAGAATACAAGAAGTGGTTGAATGCAACTGGCTTTTTTCCTGTCACCCCAGTATTAGGACAGGAACTTTATCAAATATACTCTTGAGTTTGACAGCAAATCCCAAACCGTGTCCATTCATGAATATTTATATAGCACAGCAGGTCACGAATGGGTGCTGCCCCGACTTGCTCTTAAACTCAATCCATGTATCTGCTAAGGTGCAAAAACACTCTTTTGATTTAACAAACAGAAAAGGAGTAATACCACCTAGGCTGCTGCCAGGCTTCCTCAAGATTGTTCTGATCATGACCTACCTTTAAAGGCTTCATACAAAATTCTTACACTTTCACAGTGTGAAATATGCAAGCAGCTTGTGGAAACAGTTATTGGGCTGACGCCCCTTTTAAAATATGTCAGGAAGAAGGGGTTAAATCTTGCTTTTCTTTTTTTATGAATTGTAATGCCATTAAAAACCTTATGTCCTCTAACACTGCACTAGGGCAGAACATGACTGTATGCACTCCTATCAGACATGTTGGCAGCACAATGGTCTGAAGTATTTTGGGATATCCTTGTTAGTTCCTTACGTAACCGTACATCCTCACTTTCCGAAATCATGTCCCAAGGCACATAGGAGGAGGCTAGGTACAGATGTGTCCTACTTCACACCATGTCCAAGAATATTGAGTTTTGGAGCACTACAAAGGCTTGTAAAAATACAAAGCAATATCTTACAAAACAAAAATACATCAAAGAAAAAAAAAGAGAAAAGAAATTGTGCTCACCTGCTCACCGGCCTGCGATTCCCCTATGATGAATCGATCTCCTGGGCCATCAGCAGCTGTTAAGATGGACAATACAAATGGTAAAGGCTGAACCAAAACGAACGATGGCATTAGAAATTATGAACAGAAGAACCAAAGAATGGGCTAAGATTCAGTTTTTCAGTGTCAGCACGATAAAGTTATGGAAGTTTTGCAAATATTTTACATTTTAGGTCCTTTTAAGTTGTGTTTATTATTTTGAAAATTACAGGTTCTATAGTACTTTTAACTGAAAATTTCTAGGCAATATAAGATAAAGTAAAAGGAGATTAGAAGCAACTACATTGATAACAAAGATTTAAGAGTGTTCATGAGATAATTTTTATAAAAATGTCCACTGTGAGCAAATCTTTTTTCCATGTGAAACCAATACGGGGGAATCATATTTTCTAGTGTATTATGTATCTTTTTTTTTCTAGACAACAATGGAATATTGACATTTCTAGATTCTATCTTTGCCTTTGGAGGAAAACATGGACAAGTGCAGTGATTGTGTAGATGACTAAACAGGTTTGGCATTTTCTGAAGAGCACTAGGGCTAAGATAATGCAACTTGAACTGCCACATTAGAAGTCTGGGTTCTGTTCCTTTTTGTAAATTTAGGAGGTAGCACTGAACTAGTTACCATATACCCTTAATTGAAGTAATTCGGAAAATTGTAAGTCAGAACTCACTGATTTAACATACTGAAAGTTTCCAGGACTTCCAATTTAGCCAAATCTGTATTTTTACAGGGACAACAAAGGCATCATTACTAAGAAATTTTAAGCTTCTGCCTGTCTCAAAGGTCTTTCAGCAAGTTGAGTTAGTGGTGTTATAGGCTCTACCATGGTGTAAAGCACGTGTGGAGCACAAGGAACTCTGCCTGTCCAAGCACAGCACGCATGCTGTCAAGAGTGTTCAGACAAACTTGAGTTCATAGGTTCACACTTAAATATGTCTTTTTATTAATTTTATATCTGTAACTGTCAAAAGTTTGATTTCCCAGAGATGAATTCCAATCAGTGAAAATCTTTATCTTAATACCTCCTGTTTTTTTTTCAAAAGCCCTTAATATACAGCTAGACAACTTTATCATATTGAGAAAAATTGCTTTCAGGAAGGATGCCCATTCAGTCTATATAATGATTTATCACATTTCTACTCATACATCAGCTGCAACTCTGCAGATGATCTACAGTACTCAGTCATGTTTGAAGACTAATCATTAACCTAACTTTAAAAGTCTATCAAACAGCCTAATCTATGGGCTGTAGAACAAACTCTCAAATAAGAAAGCGGAAAAGGACTCTTCAACTATTTGTCTTTGAATAATGCATATAATACTACTGAATACAGTTGTCATAACTTCACTGAAAAAATTGCACTGGGATGATCCAGCAAAAGAAGATAAAAAATTCCCTAATAGCTAAATTATTTTAAACCTAATAAAATGCTAATGAATTAGATTATATTCCCCCTTTAATAACGATATGGAGACAAAGTTTATAGGTGATGTACAACCAATATAGCTCGAACTGGACAAGGTTTTGGGCAGACAGGTTTATGTGACTTAAAGCTAATCCTTTATTTTTTTTTGTAAAAAAAAAATCTGTTATGTAGTCAATATTGATTCTGCCTACAAGCTTTGTTTCTCATATCCTGAGATAACAGGTCTAGAAGAACAATATAGAGTAGAACAGTATAGAATAGAATAGAATAATTTGAGTTGGAAGGGATCTACAACAATCATCTAATCCAACTGCCTGATCACTTTAGGGCTGACCAAAACTTAAAGAAAATTACTAAAGGCATGGTCCAAGTGCCTCTTAAAACACTGACAGGCTTGGAGCACCGACCACCTCTCTAGGAAGTCTGTTCCAGTGTCTAACCACCTTCTCGGTAAATAAATGCTTCCTAATGTCCACTCTAAACCTCCCCTGGCGCAGCTTTGAACCACTCCCACGTGTCCTGTCACTGGATACCAGCGAGAAGAGATCAGCACCTCACTCTCTACTTCCCTCCATCTGGAAGCTGTAGGTGATGAAGTCAACTCCCAGTCTGCTTTCCCCAAGCTAGAAAAACCCCCAAGTCCTCAGCTGTTCCTCATAGGACATTCCTTCCAGCCCTTTCACCAGCTTTGTTGCCCTCCTCTGGATACATTCAAGTACCTTACTATCACTCTATTTGAATCCACCACCAAATTTAGGGCCTTGTGTGTTGGTTCTCACAGAAGTTGTTGAAGACGGCGTTCATGATCCTTCTGCTTATTCTGCATTTTACTGAGATTGTACTTGTGCATTTTACTGAGATTGTACTTGTGCTTTCCCTTACCTTACAGCAATTAGGTGGCAAGACAGCATTTGTTTAATCCCAAGGCCCTTGTCAGTCAGTGTTCTACTCAGAGCTCCCCCTCTCAGCTTTTCTCAGCATTATATTACCTGTATTTCTCTGGCTACATCTGTACTCACTTGCCATTATTACTAGTCATTCTGGTCTGCCTGTCTCTCACACACATAGGTGACAGACAGCTGCAGTCAAATTCATCTTGTAGACCTGGAATTTTATTTTTCTGTCAAATCCATGGGGAAGCTATTGGACTACATCCATTCCCTGGGTTTGCAGATAGTCTGTTTCAGCTGCCAGCAACAAAAAAGATATTTTAATGTCCCTAGAAGAAAGTTGGCTATTGTGTCCAAATTTCAACATGGTGTTATGATGATTCAACCCCTACCACAAAGAAATCACTACTAGTATAACGTTCAATCATATATATTTTAGTTTTCTTCCACAGATATCTGAGGTGAATATCATTAGTCTTATTTTACAAAGGGAAAAACTGATGCACAAAGAAGCAACTTGCTCAAAATCATGCAGGACCTAGTGGCAAAGCAGAGGATGGATTCAGGTCCCCTGGGAAACCACTCACTGCTTGGTCTGTAAAGTCACACTACCAATTCTATTTATATACAGCAACAGCAGTATCTTCAAAGTAAAAATGAGTTTTTCTTTTGAGATGTCTCCATAAGAGTACATTCAGACATGTATTTTTCAAAATTTTCTAATGCAATTATAAAATAATTCACAAATAGGAAGCTGGATCTGTGACAGTTCAACAAAGTAATGGATACGTAAGAATTTCCTGATTAAATCAACAACAGAGGAATGGAAGAACAATCTGTCATTCAGAAACAGATGTTCTGTTACTCTCCTAAATTCTTTATGTTTCCAAGAAACTCACTAGCACCACAGGCGCATGTCTATGAGCACACACGGATGTACATTTGCTTATGTACATATGTATCCACTTAAAAGATTTGAATTCAACTTTATGGTCTTCCCTCAAGGCAGCTGAATTCCATGTAACTGTGACTTCAGCAATGATCTGAATCAAATCAAAATTCAAAGTAGGTGAACTAACATGTTATAAAGCGGCTTTACAGACACTACACTGCACGTCTACAAAGAGAGTGTTTACCTCTGACAGCGTAGCCATCTTTTACTGATGCTGGAAATGGTGGTAGATTATCTTTTGCATATACATCTTGAGCAAGGACTCGGCCCATTCCATCTAGAAAAAAAGAAAAGAGAAAAGACCATGCACTATGTCATTACAGATAGTGAAAGAGAAAAAAAAATCAACAGCAGTGTGCTCTGATGGACGAAACGTAAGTTTATGTGTCATAAATAGATCTCTCAGGTTTTTATTTCTGCCTCTACATAAATGAAAAAAGACTGGAGTCTGGAAGTACTGATGAAAGATTTGTTCAGTAAGTCTGTGTTCTTGGTTATGATGAAATTTTTGACAGTAGATCTGAAGGCCAAGTATCCAAACCCAGAGGTAACAGCTCTGATACAGGATCAGACAGAAAAAGAGTATTTGTTTCCGCAGGATAAGATTTTCTCCCAAAATCTCTTAAAAATACATACTTTCCTTATTTCAGCTTGAAAAAAAAGTTATTTTTTAAGAAAAGTTTTAAAGTAACATTTCAAAAGTGTGTGCAAAAGGTGAGAGGTGACAGCTTGAGCCCAGAGGACTCAACGTAAACAGTAACGATGAACAAGCTTCCATAAATCGACAAAGAAGTTTTGCAAAAGATTAGCTTTGCCTAATTGCTAGAAGCATTTCTGCTTAATGGTGGGTGAGTGCAGATAAGTGTCAGGATTATTTATGTAAATTTACGCTGTTATAGTTCTAAATATTTTAATAGCTGTTTCAAGCATACTCTTTAAGCAACTATGACTGATGAGTTGTAATTTGGCTCTGCCTCCCTGTAGAGACTGATATGAATTACTTCACCCTCAGTCAAGTGTGTACTACTTATTTGATTTACGGTGCCAGCAAAAGCTTTTTCTTAGTATCATGTGGAACAGAGTGGAAAATATGTCTCTTATCCCTTCATACACTGGGAGAGTGAGAAAGATTTATTACATGTGTGATTAGATGGACTGGGAAAGGACACATGGGTCAGAACTACTGAGATAAGCTTGATTCCAGTATGTCTAAGCAGAAGAAGGGAATCTCACCTCATAATAGAGGCCACTGCTTTTAGGAGCAGTGCAGAGAGGCAATATCCAGCTGAAAGTATGAAGGAATAGAGGATGCATGAATACTTCTGCCAGGAGAATTTGCGTGGATATGTACTTTACACATTATGATCTTTCAGACACGCCAAAAGAGCGACATACACAAAGTGTGTTTCTTGTTTTCAGATAAGGAAATCGATGTGGTTCTGGGTTTGCCGGGAAGGCAGAAGACCTAACATTGCACACTAAATGGACAGGTTGTGTTAAAAAGTGCACCTACTTGATTTGAAAATGTTCAGCTTCAGTGAAGTGGTATTATAATGGAGGTTATATTTTACTTATTAACACAAAGTGATTTACTTAGTAATTAATTACAATAACTATAACATCATTGTGCTCACATCCACATGTATCAACTTTCAGTCTGAGGTATTTATGTTGCGTTTTTGAAATAAGTATTGCCATGAATACTTACCGTACCAACCTCATGAAGTTTAACCAGGCCAAGTGCAAGGTCCTACATCTGGGTCGTGGCAATCCCAGGCACAAATACAGCCTGGGCGGAGAATGGATCGAGAGCAGCCCTGAGGAGAAGGACTTGGGAGTACTGGTGGACGAGAAGCTCAATATGAGCCGGCAATGTGCTCTTGCAGCCCAGAAGGCCAACCACGTCCTGGGCTGCATCAAGAAGAGCGTGGCCAGCAGGTCGAGGGAGGTGATTCTCCCCCTCTACTCTGCCCTCGTGAGACCTCACTTGGAGTATTGCGTCCAGTTCTGGAGCCCCCAACATAAGAAGGACATGGACCAGTTGGAGAGGGTCCAGAGAAGGGCCACGAAGATGATAAGAGGGCTGGAGCACCTTTCCTATGAGGACAGGCTGAAAGAGTTGGGGCTGTTCAGCCTGGAGAAGAGGAGGCTCCGGGGTGACCTTATAGCGGTCTTCCAGTACCTCAAGGGGGCCTACAAGAAAGATGGGGAGAGGCTGTTCAGGAGGGCCAGTTGTGATAGGACAAGGGGTAATGGTTTTAAAATAGAGGGAGGTAGATTCAGGTTGGATATTAGGAAAAAATTTTTTACCACGAGAGTTGTAGAACACTGGAACAGGTTGCCCAGAGAGGTGGTGGATGCTCCATCCCTGGAGACGTTCAAGGCCCGGTTGGATGAGGCCCTGAGCAACCTGATCTAGTTGGAGATATCCCTGTTTGTTGCAGGGGGGTTGGACTAGATGACCTTTGAAGGTCCCTTCCAGCCCTAACGATTCTATGATTCTATGATTCTATGAAAACTCTGATAAAACCTGTTAAAGTAACTAGAAAAGCACCTTTGTGATGGCTGTTAATATGTCTGTACATCACTGCATATCACTGTCTGTGATACACAATACAGTTGTTAGAAAGCTCATGAAATCTACATTTGCACTGAAAAAAAGAATGCAGACAGACATATAAATTATAGCACAGAAAAGGCAGTTACCAAAGGCCTAGTAAAAACACCCTCTATTCACAGATGCACAAAATCTCACACAAAAGTGATACTTCTAATTTTAGCAGGCATGTTGTGTCTTCATTTTACTTCTTGTCTGCATGCAAAATCGCACCATTTAGAGAGAAGTTGTACAGTATGTTCCAGGCATTCTGCCATGCAATATTTGAAGGGAATAAATGGCCAGCCAGTAGTAGGAATAAGTTTCATTAAGGGGAGAAAAATGTAAGAATTATTTGCTGAAGCCTTAGGCATTTAAAATGAAGCAAGTCAGCAGCTAAAGAACACTCTGAAACATCTCTTCAATCTCCTTTATTTGACCAATTATTTTAGAAATACACTGTTTTACCTGATTTTGATTAACTGTAATTCAAAAAAGATGTTCTGAAACATTTTACTGTCATTAAACTTCCCCTTGTGATGTCCATAGCTTTCTGAGTCTAACAAAAAATGGAGAAATACATTACATTCACTTTTCAAATTGGGGTACTTTCTAAAGCTTAACTAGTGAAACTGGTATAGTTCTGTGAAGAATTTTGATTTCTCAGGGTATTGGTACTGGGATAAGGCAGTGACAGGTAGTATACTAGAGGTGATGGATTCGCTCACATTTCCTAAACACTGCCCTGGTAGCACTTCAGTGTGATATGAAAAGGCAATGCTACAAAAATAATCCACTAGTTCAAAATGAATAAGCAGTGGAAAAAAATGTCCAGGCTCTATAAAAGTCACAGGGCTCTTGGACTAGGTCAGGAAAACTGTTCTGTTCTGAGGCTTAAGCCCATAAAGTGTGGATTGCCTCTGCTTTGTACTTTTAGTATCAATTAAACTTCTGCCTCTTCTTAGTTTCAGAAGAATAATCATTATCATGCTGTCTAAAAAATTAACCTCATATACCCAAAAAGCAATGTTCAGGTAACTGCATTTAGCTGGAATAAAAGGCTAATCGGGGCTTTCTACCAGAACTGACAATGGCAGGTGGGAAATATGCTTCAGACACCTTTGGTTTATGGTACTTCTGTAAAATGTTTTAGGATTGTCCTTTTTTTTTTTTTTTTTTTAAATATGGAAAAGGATAAATGATCTATACTGGCATTGAGCTATACAGCTACCAATGTGAAAGTCAAGTTTCAAAAGATAACTTTACTCATCCTCCCCCTTATTTTAGGAGACAATAGATTTGAAAAACTACAGCATGCTTTGACTTAATCAAGAGTAAAGTCAGGACTGCACTAGCTACTTGTACAAAGTAACATTCAGCAGCTTTATTTATAAGGCTGAATACTAAGTAATACGTTTAGTAATGTAAATAAATCAGGTTAAAATTAATTAGGTACTTTGCTAATGAAATAAATTGCAGTTCAAGAACTTTAAAAATTTCACTTTCCTTACAGAGAAATTGTGTTCCTGAAAGATAATTTTCAGGAGCTCAATGTTAATTCAAGACAGAAATCCACAAAGAAAACAAACACAGAACAACAGTGTTTTTCTGAGTAGAGTTAGTTAGGATTTAGATCTCCAGGACTACATTTTTATTATCTCCTGAAATTACAGGTATATTAACTGGAAAATAAATGAACACATAACTAAATGAAAAACTGGTTCTTAATTCATTGTATTATTCAACATCAACATTTTTTAGCAAACTAACATATATGTTTGTGCATGCATGCACACACACACAGATACACATATATGCCTATACCAAAAAATCCTATATATTTGTCTGTGTTACACTGCTGCAAATGAGATTCCGTCTTGAGATTTGTATCTGTAGATAAAGAAAATTGAATTTCCAGTATTGCAGACACAGATGTGTCCTTTAGTATGTCTCCTAAAGACTCTATCCTGAAATATCATACTATGTATTAGGAAATCTTACAGTGCTAAAATAAGTGTCTATTTGTTGAAAGATAAATTGCGAGACACAATTTTGCACTACAGTGCTGTCCTGGTTTTGGCTGGGATAGAGTTATTTTTCTTCTTAGTAGTAAGAACAGTGCTGTGTTTTGGATTTAATATGGGATTTAGTATGAGAAGAATGTTGATAACACACAAAGACTTTTCAGCTTCTCGTATCTTGCCAATGTGCAGGTGCACAACAAGCTGGGAGGGAGCATAGCCAAAACAAAGGATTCACAAGTACTAGTTTAGGATTTGAGCTTAGATTTAGGACTGAGGCTCGAATTGGCCAATGGAATATTCCATATCATGCAACATCATGCCCAGTATATAACTGAGGGTTGTCCGGGAAGCTTGCTCTTGCTCTTTGGATCTCTCTTCAGGGCTCTTGCTCTTCTGGGATTGCAGTTTTGGGACTTCTCTGCTTTGAGATCACTAGCCGGGCAGGGCGTTGGTCAGCGGGTGGTGAGCAATTACACTCTGCATCACTTGTTTGTAGATACTATTATAATTTTAATATATAATCATATATTATTATTATATCATTATTACTTCTAATTTTATTTTATTTCCATTATTAAATTGTCTACCTCAAT